TCCAAAGTGATTTTGTCCAATCCTGAAATTGCTACTGTACTTAGAATGTATTACTTTTGTTACATTTAGTTGTGTAGTTGTCATTTCCCTTTACTATACTGAATTCCATAAGGGAAGGGATAATGTTTTACATAAAATATATCACTATCATATTTCTGCACATAGGAAAACTTACTAAGTTTTCAATGCAATTCCATATTTATTATGCACCTATTATATGTAGATAGTAGACTAGGCTAAGCCCTAGGGAAATATAAAATTTAGTAAAGTTACTGTCCTCATGGTTTCCATAGTAGAAGGAAAATGTATACATAACTATAATGTGCATGTTAATACATAATTACATTAGCTAGGTTCAAAATAAAGTGCGATACGAGGTACTAAGAGGTGATGGAATGTGGGGGGAAATCAGGGAAGGACTTACACAGGTGTTGACATATGAACTGGGTTCTTAAAAGATGGGTAGGAATTTAACAGGTAAAGTGGGAAGGAGTATAGTCCAGGCATTATATACAGAAAAGACACGAGGTTAGAAAAGCACAGGGCATATTGGTAAAAGAGGGGCAGTTAGGTTCAATTTGGCAATGGAAAGGGGAGTAATAAAGACAATATTTCACATTTGTCTATCACTTTGAGATTTACAAAAAGACCAAACTGCAAATATAGGAGGGTTCCAGATTGTGGAAGATCTTTAATGCCACACTGAGGAATTTGCTTTACTCAGCAAATATAGGGAGCCACTAAATATTTTTAAATAGAGGCATGACAAGACTATACAGAAGGAATATGAGTTTAGCAATGGTATAAAGCATAGACTGGAGAAAAAGGTGGATAAAGACTCATAAAGAGGTACTGTAATAGGCAGATTGGTCAATATGAGGCTTATATAAAGATGGCTGCAGTAGAAAGAGGAGACAAATTCAAGATGTTGAACTGAATTGAATCCTCTGGTTTTACAGACTACTAGGGCCCAGAAAGAAGGAAACTGCCTAAAGTCACAGAGCCAGAACAAGGACCCAGGTCTCCTCATATAACCAGTACCCTAATCTACCATACCAGAGGTGTCAAACACACTGGACCTCAAAATTCTCAAACTGCAGCTGAACCAGATTAAAATGTTTAACATTTTAATTAAGAAAAAATTAACATGACAAATAAAATACAACAATATAGATAATGTTAATGTGTGGTTTTCTAAGTTAATATGCCACCCACAGGGATCCTTTTCTATTTGAGTTTGACACCACTGCAATACATACATACAACATCAATAATAAAAACAGATGTAGATGACTTAGATATAAAGGCTGATACCATAAGTAAACTGGGAGAACAAGGAATAGTTTACCTATCAGATCTATGGAGAACAGAAGAATTCATGACCAAACAGGAGATAGAGAACATTATGAAAAGCAAAATGGATAATTTTGATTACATAAAATTGAAAAGTTTTTGTACACACAAAGCCAATGCAACTAAGATTAGAAGGAAAGTTGAAAATTGGGAAAGAATTTTTACAACCAGTCTCTCTGATAAAGGCCTCATTTCTTTTTTTTTTAGTTTAATATAAATTTATTTATTTTTAGCTTTCAACATTCACTTTCACAACTTTTTGAGTTCCAAATTTTCATCCCTTCTCCCCCTCCCCCCACCCCAAGATGGCATGCATTCTGAATATCCCTTCCCCTAGTCTGTCCTCTCTTCTATCTCCCTCCCCTTCTATTTTCCTGTAGGGCAGGATAGACTTCTGTACCCCATTTCCTATATTTCTTATTTCCCAGTAGCATGTGAAAACATTTTTTGAACATATGTTTTTAAAACTTTAGGTTTCAAATTTTCTCTCTTCCTCCCTCCCCACCCACTCTCGTTGAAAAGGCAAGCAACTCAATATAGGTTGTACATGTGCAGTTATGCAAAACACGTCCATAGTAGACATGTTGTGAAAAACTAACTCTATTTCCCTTAATCCTATCCTGCCCTCCCATTTATTCCATTCTTTTTTTTTTGACCCTGTCCCTCCTCAGAAGTATTTACTTCTGATTATCCCCTTTCCCAATCTGCCCTCCTCTCTATCATCCCCCTGCTCTCTTGTCCCCTTCTCCCCCTATTTTCCTGTAGGGTAAGACAGATTTCCATACCCAAATGAATGTGTATGTTATTCCCTCCTTAAGCCAAATCCTATAAGAGTAAGATTCACTCATTCCCTCTCACCTTCCCCCATTTCCCCTTCCACTGTAAGAGACTTTTCTTTTCTATTTTTTTTGTGAGATAATTTACCCCATTCTACCTCCCCTTTTCTTCTTCTCCGAGTATAATCCTCTGTCATCCCTTAATTTTATTCTCCAGATACGACCCCTGATAATCTTCAGCTCACTCTGTGTAAAGGCCTCATTTCTAAAACATATAGAGAATTAAGACAAATTTATAAGAACACAAGCCATTCCCCAATTGATAAATGGTCAAAGGATATGAACAGACAATTCTCAGATGAAGAAATTAAAGCCATCTATAGTCATATGAAAAAATGCTCTAAATCATTATTCTTTAGAGAAATGCAAATCAAAACAACTCTAAGGTACCACATCACACCTATCAGATTGGCCAACATGACAAAACAGGAAAATGATAAATGTTGGAGAAGATATGGGAAAATTGGAACACTAATACATTGTTGGTGGAGTTGTGAAATGATCCAACCATTTTGGAGAATAATTTGGAACTATGCCCAAAAGGCTACAAAAATGTGCATACCCTTTGATCCAGCAATAGCACTTCTAGGGCTATATCCCAAAGAGATCGAACAAATGGGAAAAAGACCCACATGTACAAAACTATTCACAGCAGCTCTTTTTGTGGTGGCAAAGAATTGGAAATTGAGAGGATGCCCATCAACTGGGGAATGGCTGAGCAAGTTGTGGTATATGAGTGTAATGGCATACTATTGTGCTATAAGAAATAAATGAACAGGCTGACTTCAGAAAAACTTGGAAAGACCTATATGGTCTGATGCTGAGTGAAGTGAGCAGAACCAAGAGGACTCTGTAACGATAACAGCCACATTATACGATGACTAAGATTGTTAAACTGAACCCTTCTCAGCATTACAAGGATCTAAGACACCTCCAGAGGCCTAGGGATGGAAAATGCTGTCCACATACAAAGAAAGAACTATGGAAGTCAAATCACTACCACTTAGTTTTACCTTCTGTTGAGTTTTGTTTCATTTTTCTGATGGTTCCTCCTATTGGTTTTAATTTTTACTTACCACTTCACTAATGTGAAAATATGTTTCATGGGTATGTAAATGTAAAGCCTACATCAGATTGTGCGCAGTCTTGGAGAGGGTGGGGGGGGAGGAAAGGGGAGAAAAATTTTCAACGCAAAAGCATGTAGAAGTGATTGTTGATAAATCAAAATAAATTAATAAAATCATAAAAATAAATAAATAAATAAGCATATGGAAGTGATTGTTGATAAATCAATAAATTTATAAAGTTGAAAAAAAAAACAAAACAGATGTAGAAAGCCATCTTGATGTAGTGGAAAGAACACTGGATTTGGAGGCTGAAGACAGGTAAATGTATCATCTAGAACATTTCACCTGACCTAAAATCTGGAGACCAGGATTCAAATTTTGGCTCCAACACACTCACTAATTGCAAGGTAAGTCATTTCACCTATTTGAGCCAGTTTCTCAATCTATAAAGAAGGATAATAATCTTTACAAGATCAACCTCACAGGGTTGTTTCCCAGTAAAGCATTATATAAATATGTCATAGCTACAAATAGAATTCACAATAGTTACCATTCACATTACTTAAAAAAATTTACAAAGGACTTTACATATATCAATTTGATATAATGACAAGCCTCAGTAAAAGCGACAGCATAACCGGAGAAGGAGACAGAGACTGTCATGTTCAGCGTGAGGGATAACAAATGCACAGCTGAGTGCTGCACTGCTTTCTATGAACCTAAAGAAGGCTTTCAGCATATTGTGCAGATCCCTACATGGAGGATTTATGGAAGAAGAATCAAAAGAAAGAGCTATGGAGAGAATTCAAATCAACAAATATTTATGAAATACCTACCCAGTATACAAGGCACTATGCTAGGGATTGAAAAGACAAAAATGAAATAGCCCTTGCTCTCTAGGACAGGGTTCTTTAACCTTTTTTGTATCCTGGACTCCTTTGGCAGTTTGGTGAAACCACATATGGACCCCTCCTCAGAATGTTGTTTTTTAACTTCATAATTAAAGAAGATGCTAAATTTCAGTCAGAGGTTAGTTAAAATAAAGATGTAATTTTTTCACATCCAAGTTCACAGTCCCCCTAAAATCCATGAGCCCCACGTTAAGAAGCTCTATTCTAAGAACTTCCATTCTACAATTATATCCATACTAATAAGATCGTGGCTCCACTGCTGTATAAAATAACATAAAACATACACAGAACACACACAGGCACAACCAGACCATTTTGGAAATAACCGATCTCCTTCTGCTTAGTGTGGTGTGGGACTTTGAATAAAGAAAACCTGGGTTCCAATATTAGCTTTGATACATACTAGCTGTGTGACCTTAGGCAAGTCATTTCACCTATGATACTCAGTTTCCTCATCTGTAAAACGGAGTCAACCTTCTAAGACTGATTGTAATCTGTAGAACAGGTGCGGATCTGCCTTTGGCAGAGGAGTTTCGTCAGAAAGAGCTCCCCCACACAGAGGAGATCCTTAGTTCCTGACAAAAAAATAGGCAAAAATGGGGATGATCCTTTCACTCTCTATCTCACGAGAGGTTGGTTAAGGAAAGCACATGAGAAACCTTAAAACTCCAGAAAAAAGGGTGCTATTAGATTTGTTTTCATGCCTACCTCCCCCCCACCGCCACTCCCGGACGCCCCGCCCCCGCCTGAGTCCATCCTCCCTCTCAGGGTCAGCTACCAAAACCCCGCCCCACCCCAGGCCGGCGCCAACATCCAAGCCCTGAAGCCCTCACCAGCCCTCGGGCGGTTACCCGCCAGCTCAAGGGAGGAAAACGCCACAAAGTCCGTCGCAGAGCCGTGCTCCCAGCCCGGGGAAGGCCGGGCAGGGAAAGGGAGCCCTAGACGTAGCCTCAGGAGAAAATTCCTCAGTCCAGGGAAGGTGAGGGAAAAGGGCGCGCGCTCGCGCCGAAGGGGAGGGGAGCAAGTTGGGGGTTGAGAGAAAAGGGGCGTGGTCCGAGGAGCACGTGGCCTGCGCATGCGGAGTTTGCTCCTCCCCCCATCCCCCAACCCTTAGGCCTTTGGAACACCCGTTACCAAGAGAGCCCCCTCTCCCCATCCTTTTCTCGGCCGATGCACGCGTGCGCACAGGCGCGTGGCCTTTCGTTTCACTGCCCACCTCCGAGCGGTCCGCAGAGCCACACCACCCACCTCCATCCATCCCCACTCCCACCTCCAATTGTGGTTTTCTCCTCACCTGACTAAGACTCCACTCACTCACTCACTCACTCGGCTTCACGTCCTTCCGCCGCTATCCCGTCGACATGCTGGGGCTCGAGCCTGGCTGAGGAAGCGGTAGAGGGGTGGGGGAGGGGAGAAAAAAAGACAAGACGCTGGCTTCATCCGGAAGTCTGGCTGCCGGGGGCGCGCGCGCCTCCGGTCCCGCCCCTTCCCCGCCCTCCTCCCGTCGTTGACACTGCCCTGGATAAGCCCTGCCCTTAGTCTTTTTTTTAATTGTAGACATAACCATCAATAAATATGAAACATTTAAGTTCTTTGTTAAACAAAGAAGGCCCAGAAAAGAGGATTGTATGTGAAATTGTGGACCACTCTTTTTTTTTTAAGCGTTCTTTAAATTTAACATGCTATTAGCAAAAACTGCCCTGCTTGTCTCTGCCCCTTAATGAACTCGATTCAGGTTGTGTGTTTTCCATCACTACCCATCGACTTTCTGTGCAGGGATAGAGTGCTGGGGCATAGAGTCAGAATGTCCTGCGTTCAGATTTGGCCTTTGAAACTTACTTGCTATGTGACTGTGGGCAAGTCACTTAAACCCTTTTTGCCTCAGTTTGCTCATCTGGTAAAATGAGGATAATAATAGCATCTGCCTCCCAAGGTTATTGTGAGAATCAAATGAGACAATAATTGTAAAGTTATGGGCCCCAAAATTTCCAATCCTCAGTAAAATACCACTGAAGGAGAGCTTGGAGCAGTGATCAATTTATTAGGGAGACTTGAGGTCCCTAAGCAATTGGATCCAAGACCTTTCAGGCCAAAGACCGAAATGCTCAGGGGCTGAGGGATCTTTAAACCTTGAGAAAACCTTGGGAAGTTCCTTCAAAAGCATGGAAATTCCTATGGTTGCCTAGTTTTCAGAAGTGGTGGGGAGGTCCTATGATTGGCTAAGGGCAATGTCCATCAACCATAACCACTTTTGTCAGCTAGCGTTTCACAGATCATTAGTTACAAGCATCTCAACAGAAGCTTTCCATAACTTTTAAACACCACTGTTTGATCAGCAGTATCCTAGGGGACTAAGGAAGATGTGGTTTTGCAGCAAAGGTCACTGGGGAAAGATCAGTAGTAATTTCTATGGATATAAGTTGGTGTGGCAAGTGAACCTTATTTCAAGCATAATACTTAAGAGTAGTGGGGGTGGAGCACTAATAAATTCTTATAACATGCCCTATTAATACAGTATGAATTTAGCTATTAAATCAAACATAATTGTCCATACATGGTAAATTAATTAATCACAACACTCATTCTAACAGTACTAACATAATTAATTCAAACTTAATTCTATTCTGCTTAACTCACTAACATGATCAGTGATACCTATTAAATCACAAAGAACTAAGTAAATATTAATTAAATTGAGTTGGATATCAAAATTATCTGCACATGATGCTAAATAAATGTTAGCTATTATATCATCATCAAAACCTCCCCCTTGCAAATAAACATAATCAAGTCAATCAATCAATATGCATTTATTGGATATATTTTGTTATATATTTACTATATATTACAGGCTATTACTATGTGTCAGACACTTTGATTATTGCTGAAGATACAAAGAAAGGCAAAAGACAGTCCCTACTCTCAAGAAACTCACAGTCTAATGGGGGAGGCAATACGCAAACAACTATGTGCAATGAAGACATAGAATAAGATTGGCAATGTCTAACAGTAAGTGTCTCTTATCCAGCACCTCTGCCAAGAGGTAGGAGGAAGACTTAAGTTTCATTATCAATTTTCTGAAGTCATAATTGGTCACTGCAAATATCAGCATTCTGAGCATCATTGTGGGCATTGTTCTGTTCTGCTTTCCTTACTTGGCATAAGATTGCATGGGTCTTACCAGGTTTCAGAGGGTCTGTATAATTTCTAATACCCCATTACATTAATATACCATAATGTGTTCAGCCATTACCAAGTTGATGGATACCTACTTTGCTTCCAGCTCTTTGCTACAACAAAAATGTTGCTATGACTGTGTTTATACATATGGACCCTTTCATTCTGTCATTGACCTCTTTGGGGTCCTTTTTTCCTTAGTGTATTTGTCTTTTTGAGAAGGAAATGGCAAACAACTTCAGTATTTTTGCCAAGAAAACCCCAAATGGGGTCACATAAGAGTCAGACAGGATTAAACAACTAAACAAATATTTGTCTTTAAAGAGAGAAGGAAGAAGGAGGAATACATGAGAAGAAGTGAAAGGAGAAAGGAATGAGGGAGGGCCAGGCAAGTGAGAGTTGTTGTTGACAGTGACCTGAACCAATAGCTAATAGAAATTTCATAAGGGAGGGGAAAAGGAAGAAGCTGGGTGAGAGAGATGATTATTAAATAACCAATTATTGGGAAGATAAGGGTTTTTTTCCTTTAAGGAAACCTCTGTCCTTGCCCAAAAAATTTACCCCACCTAGACCATCTTATTTAGGTGAAGTTGTTGCCCCACCCGAACCATTCAGTTCTACTAGGGGGAAAGGGGTGGTTTGGTGGGGGAGGGTAGATCCTTTGTCTAGATTGCCCAAGGCTGGAGGTCTGGAAGTAAACGAGGTAATCAAAGTTACGTTCATCTCTCATTATAATATTTATTCTTCTCATTAATTGTTAACCAATCAGAGTTGAATGCCACCCTCAGGAACACCCACTCTTCCAAGGGTATATAATCATTAAATGGATTTCTTGAGGGGTGTTTGGCATTTGAGAGTGTCACTGACCTCTTTTATTATCTGCTAGCATAATTAATAAAATGATTAATTACTCAGAAATTATGTCCCTCAAACTTTTTATCCATTACATGGGAGAAATCCAGGTTAGGGAAGAATTTTTTGTATTCTCTCACACTTTTAACTTCCTGGGAGGTTGGGTGCCAGCAGCCAATGTGGTGTAAGACAGAGCAGTGAAAGAAAAAGGGGAAAGGGAACTGGAGAAAGAAAAGTCGGGCTAGGCGAGTCAGAGACTAATGCTCATAAGACTAGTTTATTTTCAGGAGTTATAAGGTACAAGCTTTGTACCGTGAGAAATGATCTACAAGTGCTAATTGATAACATAAACAATCTAAGAAGCTAAAGATCCTCATTTTCTCATGAGAAGTAGTTTTAATGCCAAATTTCAAATCTATTGTTTTCCTGCCCAGTTCTTAGTATTGTCTACCCGAGTCAGCCACCTGGTCTCAAGGCTGGGCATGAGTAAGAACTTAAGAATCAACAAACCATAACAAATGGAGCTAGGGCAAGAGTCATGGGAGCATTTATCCTAAGACAAGCCACTATATGTACTGACCCCTAAAGTCTGTAAGGACTTGGAGATTTTCCATAAGGACTCAGCCTCCCACAGTTGGGCTTTCACTTTTCCTTCCTCTTAGATTTATTAGGCCCACCGGAAGTATGCGCCTTCCTTCTTCAAAAGTTCATTGCCTCAGGACATCGTTTTAAAATTTTTGACTGTCTGGGTTTCTGTTCCCACTCCTTTCTTGATTGCTTTAAGTTGCTTTATTCCACCTTTTAGTGTCTCTAGTTTCCTTGAAAACTTAGCTAAATTCTACATTCCCCCAGCACCTATTGCCTCCCTCTACCCCCCACAATTATCTGCATTTATTTTGATACTTACATATGTGCATATTTTCTTTCTGCATAGAAAGCAGGCTCTTTAAGGGCCAGGTATTTAATTTTTATCTTTGTATTCCCAGTGCCTGGCACATAGTAGTCACTTAAAATTCACATGATAATATTAAATATTCACAAAAAAACTTCAATAAAATATGGCACTCATTTATTTGAGAAACCATAGGATTAAAAATAATGAGTAAAACCATTTATTTGAAACCAAGAGCTAGCATGATTTATAACTGGAAACGTCTGCAGAAAAAGATCTTGCATAAAGCAAACATGCCAACTATCTCTATTATTACTTGGTATGGTGCTAGAAACATTAGTTATAGGAATAACACAGGAAAAACATCTTGAGGAAATTAGTATATACGAAGAAAAGGAAAAATTCTCTTTGCAAAAAAAATGTTTTATTTTAAAGAACCCTAGAGAAGCAGTGAAAAAATGGAAAATACAAATAACTTGAATAAATTTTCAGGAAGCAAATTAGATTCATAAAAATCATTAACCTTTCTGTAAATTACCAACAAAACCCAGGAGGGAGAAAGAGAAATTTCATTTAAGATAAAATTAACTAGCCATGACACATGAAAGATTTATACAAATACAATTACAATTTTTTAATAGAAATTCAAGAAATTGGAAAGATATTCACATTCATGGTTAGACCCGAACTACTCTACAGATTTAATACATGCTAATTCACTGCTGGGGGGAAGGGTAGTGTCTGTGAATTTTTACTGTTGAAGACCAATACAACAGAAGTTATGGAATGTTTTCTGACAGAAAATTATCCAAGGATTCGTTGATAGGTACTACTGCCAATAACCATCAATGTGCAGAGATATAACTTAGCATAGATTCACTGTATCTAAAAATCAGTGAGCCAAGAGTAACAGTTTCAGCCTTATATAGGTTCACTTTCAACCTTATATAGGTTTTAGTTACATGGGCAGTATGGGCATAATAGAATTTTTTATAAGGCAGAAGGAGAGGTTAACGATTTACATAAAGAGCAGATTTATGCAAAGAAAGCAGATG